CAGAGGCAGTTATCTTTCTTAGCTCCTAAGATTTTTACATTTAGATATTACAGTTTAATTTAACCAAATCACTGTTACCTGGTCTGGCATGGCTGTTCATTGCACTTGCGGATCTGTGGTTCAGGTTTTGTTAAATATTTGCATTTCTTGTTGTCCACAAGACTGATATTCTTGTTCATAATTTTTGTGCAAGAGACTGTTGTCTTTCTTTCACCTAGTAAACAATAAAGCAGGTATGTGGGGAAACCAGGAATACGCAACTTTGTTAAAAAAAAAGAAAGACAATTTTATCTTTGTCAGATACAACTATTTCATGTACAGTTTGGGTAAAAGAACTGTAAAACCTGTACAAGAAAATCAAAGCTAGCAGGGAGCCTAAGAGACATATTACAGCTTGTACAGAGTAATGTGATTTTCTAAACCACACTTTGCACAACACTGTCAACAGAGTTTTACTGCTTTATGGCTGTAAGTAGTCGCAGGCCAAACCCTTAGTCTGACTGGAATAACTGTTCCTTTCTCAACCACTGAGATCCCAGCGTTGAGAAAAGACTGCAGAAAAATTACAAAGAAAAATATGTTTGTTAGCTAATATACAAAATAAGGAAAGGAAGGACAAATCCTGCTTCTCCATCTTGCTCAAGCTTAGCAGTTCTGCCTGGTTTAGCAGCATACTGGCAGGCTTGGCCAGCATTCAGCTAAAGGGAATCAGCACATCCAGCCTTCAATAAGGAGTCTGCACTACTCCCCATTAACTAAAGAGGCCAGATAACTGACCTGATCTGTAGGGTAATCATTTATGAAGTTGGGTACTGCCTGCAGAGACCTAGTGCATGTTCTGTACAGAAACCCTGCCCTGATGGGTGGGGTGGATCCTGTTGCCTCTGGAAGCTGGAAGTGTTATAAATCAGAATTTAACGTAATACCATTTGCAAGCACTAACTTGTAATTAGACTGGAGACTAATTTTTAGAAAACTAGCAACCCTGGAATTAAAGACTTCAATTAGTAGAAAATAGGTCCATAACCCCTTGTTCCTATGGTTACATTTTAACACTCCCCTGTTTCTATCTGGAAGTTTACCAGCAAACAGGGTGTGTGCAGGAGCAGGGCAAACTTAAGTATGCAATGGTACCAGAGGTCAGAAATATGCCTGTGGATGCAGCAGTTAAGTTATAGATGCGCATTATGTGTGTGACCACAGCCGACATTTTACAAGGCGCTTGTGTACGTGACAGCACATGCAACTAATCTATCATATACAACATTTGATATGTTTGACCATTCTTTCTGCATTTACATACACATCTATGTATTCATATTCTCTCCCATACAAAGAAAGCTTTTCTGCAATGCTGGAGGTTGCAGACCAGTTACATATATAAGCATACATGAAATCACACGGCTTCATCAATAGTTTCATCCTGATACATTTTAATCATTTAAGCAAAACTACTGATAATTGTTATAGTCTTTAATCAGATTCATCAAAATATTGATGTTAAAAATTGAAACACAAATATTTACATATTGTAAAAGCCACAGCATTTTAATTTCATTATTGCTTCATATTTAGGCCAAGAACTAAAAGAACAGTTAAAATGGTTTTGTCTAAAGTAAGAAAAATCTTCCACTTGTATTTCAGAATATTTGCAGTAAAAATATCTTTTATGGAACTCAGCTTAGATAATAACATAAAATGAAGGCCAGTTACAACAGAAAAAATACATTAAATAAACATTACAGTAAAACACCTAAATATTTAGTTAAGCATTAATGTAGGACAAATTTACTGACATACTGTGTTTTAAGACTTCTCTAGATGATCAGTGACATAGAAATATTTGAGGCAATAATGAGAGATTGTGGTAACATTAAAATTATTCTAAAAATACTTCAGGAAACTGTAAAAAGCATGAATATTCCAAGTGAATACTAAGAAAGAGAGGATGCTACTAGCACCACGTAAAAAATACCTTTAGGGAAGAAGCTTTCCTATCAAACCACAAAAAGCATGTTTATGGAAACTACAGTAATCTGTCATGACACCAGGACTGTTCAGTGTCAAAGGAGCTAGAACACTGTGTTCCTTACGCTGCCGTTATGAGAAAGTAAAGCATTTCCAGGCCTTCTTATTCAATCACAAGGTGCACAGCAGTTTTCAGAAGTGTTGATCAGAGCAACCGTGACTGACAAGGTTGTAAGCAGGAAAGACAGGTATCAAAAATCAATATAGTATGCAGTGTAAGTCTGACTAATTGCACAAGATATGAACAGATGTCTATAGGGTGCATTTATTAAAAAAACTGAAGTATTTTTTCAATGTAGTTATCTATTTGAATAACCATCTTCTAAACAGCAGTTTTAAAAGATTTTGTTGCAGCAATACTGTTCATGTTCCAATATTTGTTTTCATAATCGTATTTTGTACTTCCAAATTCACATTTTTTATGGTTTATAAACATAAACATAGGAAAAACATCACATCACATCATACTAATACCTGCTGTTGTAATATTTGTTCCATATGTTTCTGGATCATCCTCAACTCGTATTACAAACTGTGCATATTTGATCTGAGACTGGGGTTCAGCTTTTCTGTAGTTTGAAATGTCTTTTACAGATCATTTGTCTTCAATAGTTCCAAATACAGAGTGGAATGCATACGAACTTTCTATTCTTGTTCTAGCTCCTGCACTTGTATTTCTTCTTGGAAACTGGGTCCTGAATTTGCTTGGCTAATCTAGATTTTGTTCCTTCACTACCACCTTTTTCTACCTAATTTAGCTGGAATGTTTTCCTAGAGTTATCACTATCCTTTTAATATAGTCAGGAAGCATAAGACTGAAGTATGTCCACCATTGTATGGAATCATACAAGTCGCAATGAGGCTATTACTATTAAATATACAACACTGATCATCCGAGTCTCAAAAATTAATACTCCATGAGTTTTAATTGATGCATATATATATACACACACACACAGAGTGTACATAAAATATATATGCATATGGTATACACACACATACATTTATTGTGCATATAATATGCATATTGTATATACATATACATTTTTCATATATGTGTGTGTGTTTGTATATTTTTCTTTTATTTTACCTCCTCCACATACAGCATCACAGTCCTCCCAGCCAGAATGTGTCCACATGAAAAGAGGCTCTGGTACTTTAGAGCTTTGATTCTCAGGAAGAGGATCCAGTGGGACTGTGTACTCATAGTGTAGACCATAGCTCTGGTCATGGAAAAGCAGCACCTGCAAGATATAGAGAAAGAAAACCTACCTATCTACACAGACATTGTGGAAGAAAAACTCCTAACAGTAAGGAGAAAATCTTGAAAAATACAACAGAATGACTGATGCTCTATAGCTCTTCAACCCTCCTGATGGATTAAGCAGAAGCAATCAATGAGAGTATCCAAATTAAGACAATGGGAAAAAATATTTTACTTAATATAAAGGTCGAAAAGCTCTCCATATGAAATAAGCAAACAAAATTCACCAGACAGCTGAAGGATGATTACGTCCTGTGATTTCAGTGTTCTTAAATAGAGGAGGTCTTTCCTAGATGCATCAGATTTCAAACTACTTTAGATATACCAGACAGTTTCTTGCATTTGAAGGACTTTGAATTGTGAAGTACTTCCTTATCATCTCTCTCCCTCCTTCTTTCCGGTGGCTATCAACTTTTCCTCCCCTACACTGAAATGCATCAAAACTCTGCTTCCTCATGGAGAAGCTGGTGACTGCAATCCTGAAATGGTGATGCTGTGCTATAGCAAGCCAGGACAGAAAACTTCTGATATTAATTTGAATGTCTCTCCTAAAGCAGCGCATCAGCTTTTTGTGACATTTGTAGGAATGCTGAGACCTTCCACCCTGCCTCAACAATGTAAAGATTATTCTTGCATTTAAATGCATTTTTTTTCAAAGTGGGCTGATAGATACATATATATAAGCAGGTTTGTGTATATATATATATGTATAAAAGCAGTTCTATCTTAGACAGATCTCATTATCTTCAGGAGCCTGGGAAAAAATATTAGTTTCCATGCTATATGATAGGAATTAGGTAAAAAACCCCAATCCATATTGTCATACCAGTAAATGTAAAGGTGACGTTGTGGGACCTTTGGCTGATATTTTCTCCCAAAGACCTCTCCGAACATAATGAACAGTGGTCCCAGCAATATTGAAAGTTCCTGAATGCTCTATCTTCCAGTCACTATTGATTGACTGTTTTCCAGCATCTCGAAGAGCTGCAAAATATACGAAAAAAGACCAATATAAGAGGTGTCTGTTCAGTAGTGATTTGGGCCTCCTTTCACTTCCTGTTTGGATAATTTAACAAGTAGATGAAATCACCTAACACTGATATTTATGGATCCTACTATACATGAACTGCAATTGGAATATGCTTTAGAAACACTTTCAGGAAGAAATGCTTGGCAAAACCACATGTGTTTAACCGTACCTGAAGTTAACATCAGTATTTTAACGCCTGAAGAGACTGACAGGCTCCATCATAATTCATAATTTGATCACTGAACTAACAAGCAAAGGCAACCATTCTACATTCCCAGGGTAGTAATTTCTATAATTCATAAAGGCATGGGAAACAAAATTTTCAGAAGACACTCTTCAAGATTTGTGGAATTAGGCTAAAACTTCAAAAATATTCTAGTTCACAATCCTTACCCCTCCAATAAATACATTTACCTTTTTCTCCAGCTTAGAATGTGACAATACTACTGCCATCCTACCTAAACATTTATTTTATACACTTTCACCACACAATTGGATGCTTCTACAAATAGAAGAGTCTTGTTCTTTTTGGCTGAATCATTCTTCTTGCTGGCCTAATTTATGTTCAAGTCAAATAAGATATATTTCATACATTGAGAACATAGGATTTTACATTAGTTTTCTACAGGAAACAGAATAGATTCTTCTGTGAAAGATATGTTATTTTATTTTATTTTACTTTATTTTCTTTTATTTATTCAGATCAGGTCTGAATAATCATGTGAAGTAGAATATACTTGAAGTCACCTCTGGACAAGAAGTTTTACACATTTCTCTTCATTGAAATTGCATGTTTGCCATCAGACTGTTGTAAGAGAACCTCAACAGTTTAAGCCTTGTCCAAAATTTCTTTTTTAAAGTTGTTAGTTAATGTGAGTCACTCCTGTAATCATCTTCTCTCCTATTCATATTTATACTGTTATGTTTTGTTTCTATGGGAAACATGGCAACAGGTCTATAGACTTCCAGAAATCCAGTTGCATAAGACATCATTGATGTGTACCACTGCAGCACTGTGTAATAAATGTTAAGACTATAAAAACAATTAATGCTGTAGAACAGTCCTGTGCTAAAAACAACCAGTGATTTTACAAGATTTAAAAATTGGTATTTTAGGTTTAAATATTCTATTATTAACGGTTATTAAGTTCTATTTAGTGTTTAAACTGTAAAGGTCAATCCTCTTCCTAGTGGAGAAACAGAACAAATGTACTCGAAAGTGCTGAGGTCCAGTTGGGTCATGCTGCTCAGATGGAGCAGCATTCTCTCCCTGGAGAGCAGCAGACCCAGCAGACACAGCATGCAGACAGGTGCAGGGGACAGGAATCCCAGACCCAGAATACAGAAATATGACAGATCTTTCATTTTCTGCTTTAAGATTCCTCACTTCAGCCATGGGGCTTAGACAAAGTAAGAAAGGGAATCCTCAAGCCTAAAATTCAGGCTTGGATTCATGCAGTCCATTTTCTGTTCTTGACTCTGTCACACCCCATATTGTAAGCAAGTTCACTGAGTTTTATTCCACAGCACATGCATACTCCCGCTCTGCTTAGCTTTTCAGATTTCCTGTACAAAGTCATACAATACAGGAAGAAAATTCAGCACACAAGTGTATCTTTTCTCAGGCTACAAAACAAATCGAGCAACACATCTACAATTAAAAAGACAAAGAAAACTCACATTGGGAAAACCTACTGCAACTGTAACCAAGACGAAAATTTCAGCACTAAAACAAGGGAGCTAATTATAACTGTATCTCTGCAGAGCATAAAATAGCCATCATCACAATGACAATTAAGTGACGGTCATGACTGCAATGTACTTTTTAATTACTGTACCAGGGATACATACTCTTCCAATTTTAATGAGGTGCGAGAGGCTGCACACCCATAGAGATGCAACATTTCACAGTTCAGCTACTGCATCTCCCGGTGTTCAGTGGGGAGAAACACTGCCTTGGTCCTGGCCCTCCACTTGCTAAATCTTGCCTACAATCCTTCCATCACATGGAAAACTACAAAATACTACACCACTGTATTAACTTAAATTTTTGCTTAAGTTGAAATAGCCACAGTTTACAGCGAGATTAAGAAAAAAGGCATTTGTTCCAAAATCAGAGGGAAGTGGACACGTTTGTGAATTGTGAAGTTTGCCTTTTGCATTGTACAAAATTTAGTCATAGTCTCCAGAGAAGTATCAAAAAGTGTTCTGACTGACCCTTATTTTTCTCGAGAAAATACAAAAAACACCTGAAATTCAATTCTAAATGAGAGTACATTCACTGATATCTTTTGTCAAGCAAGTCATTGTTTCAATTCCTTTCAGGTTATCATGTGTTCCCTTCAAGCCATCTTAAGAACATTAACACTTGAGATTTGAGTAACTTTTTGAAAATTTCAACTGAGGTAAGGCTGACTAGTCAGTAGTTCCCAGAGTCCTCCTTATTACTCTTTTCAAAAATGGTGCAATACTCTCTTTTCTCCAGTCACTGGGGACTTCAGCTGACTGCCCTGATTTTTCAAATGTGCTTAAGAGTGGCTTGGCAACTACATCAACCAGTTCCCTCAGGACCCTGGGATACATCTCATTGAGTCCCATATACCTGTGTATGTTCAGGTTCCTGAGGTGGTCTCAAAGCTGATCTATGATGGGAGGGACTTCATTCCACTAGTCCCTGCCTTGATGTTCAGGGACTTCAGAAATGTGGTATGAGTGTTTACCACTGGAACTGAGGCAAAAAACTGTTGAGTACCTCAGCCTTCTCTATGTTGTCATTAGTTCTCCTGTCTTACTTATCAGGCGGGGGGTGTGTGTGTGTACACATTTTCTTTAATCTTCCTTTTCTGACTAACATACTTGTTTATTATTATTATCATTATTCTTTGCATTCCTTGCCAAATTCAGCTCCAACTGTGCCCTAGCTTTCCTGATCATATCCCTACACATCTGAGCAGCATCCCTACATTCTTCTCAGGATATATGTTCCTGGTTCCCCTGCCTATGCATTTCCTTCTTCTACTGTAGTTTGACCAGGAGGTGCTTACTTAGCCACGCTGGTCTCCTGCCTTCCTTGTCTGATTTCTTACATGGGAGAATTGAGAGCTCTTGCAATCTAGCAAAAATGTCCTTAAAGAGCTGCCAGCTCTGTTCTGCTTCTTTACCCCTGAGGGCAGTTTCACAGGGGGTCCCATCCACTAATTCCTTAAACGACTTAAACAACGATTCACTCTCCTAACATTCAGAGTCCCGGCTTTACTCTTCATCTGACCCATATCCCTCAAGATCATGAGTTCCATCAGCACACGATCTCTGCAGATCGTGCCGCCACCAATCTTGACCTCTCTAAGTAGTTATCTGTGTTTGTAAGCAATAAACAAGGTCCAGTAATGCTGTTCTTTGGTTGGGCTATCACCTGGATTAAGACATTACCCCTGATGCACTCCAAGAGTCTCCTGGACTGTTTACAGCTTGCTGTCCTGGTTTTCCAACAGATACTGGATTACTGAAGTCCCCAGGCAGGATCAGAGCCTGCAAGCACAATGCTTCCTGTAGTTGAAGTAAGAATTCTTCACCAACAGGCTCCCCTTGACTGGACAGCCTGTAGTAAACACCAACCACGAAGTTTCCTTTCTTGTCTTGGCCCCTAATTTTTATGCATAAGGCCTCAAACTGTCGACCACTGCTTTTCAAAGAAAGACAGCTCTGTGAAGTCCATCCATTTTTTATATAGAAGGCATTTATTTCATTTTGATGTAAAATGATTTCAAAAGATGTCACTTGTTACATCTTCTATGGCCCTCTATGTATGAAAGGAAAAAATTTTTTGTCTCAGTTCTCTGCTCTCTGCTGTGTGACCAGGTCCTCAACTAGCTTCCCTTGAAGTTAGAAATTACACAGTCTAAGGATTGGTCCAAAGTAATTTAAAACTATTAGCATTGTCAGAAATAAGGGATTCAAAATTTTGTATTATTTGTCAGACCAGATCTGCTTTCCCACACCCTCGTCCCCAAAATGTGGTCCAACAGGCTTATTAAACTACGAAACATGTTTCATAAAGGAAGTCAGACAGAACAAAACACACCTACGGACTTGATACCTATAAAAGAATCAGCAATTACAATGTCAGGCAGTGTGAAGTTGCAGGTCCAAAGGGTCTATAGCCCTGAAGCAGCTTGATTTCATATTTGAGAATAATGATACAGCTAATAGACTTCTTTAGTTCATCTGAAAACAAGTAATTTCTCTCATTTCCAATTAGCACAGAAAATTTTCAGGTTTTAGATTGTAAGTAATTTGTATAGCTATATACCATTAACCAATCTTATCAATTCATTATGGGTCCTGGACCTGTCATGCCATTATACAAGCATCACAGGAATGAGCTCTCTAATCTCAAAGCCTAGTGTATCTCTTAAACAAAAAATACTGTAATCTTCCTTTTTGTATCCTACATTAAGAACATTTTTTTTGAAAAAACTTTTGACACCTGCCAAATATAAATGAAAATTTAGTGACAGAAAAGACCACAGGAATCTAGACAATGCTTGAAACAACTGTTTTATCACTTTTCTTACAATAAATTTTTTTAAAGTAACTGACAATTAATCAAGTCATGGCTATAAACAGATAGGGTTATCACTGCTAGTTTATTCTTTAAAACTAAATCTCAAAATTCTTTCTTAAAATAACGAATTCTAATTCCAAAATGAGTAAGTATATGCTTTAGGAAATAGTCTCAAATTAAATAAACACCCTCCCCCTGCCTTGCTACACGTAATTCCTTTTCCCGAATACTCCACTGATGAAAGAAGAATCACAATCTCTTCTGTATTTTCTCACATGACTTTAGTAGGGAGGAATACCTAATGTGTGGCTATATTACTGCTTCTACTTCCCCACAGGGGAGGAGAGACAGGACAGACCACGACAGATCAATCAACTCAGTAAATGCAGTTGGAAGCTATACCTTATCTTTCCTCCTAGGTTGCCAGAGCTCCTCTAACTGTGGTATATGTTGAAATACCTCAGATAAAGAAGGTACCTGAGGTGTTCAGGTAGAACTCCTCTGAAGATTTGCTTCAGTGCAATCACCCAATGATGCTACTGATGTGGGATGTAGTTTCATTAATCCCTTTAGCAACATCATTGTAGCTTCCAAATCATAGTGACTCTGCTTTCTGACCACCAAGTAGATCCAGAGAAGGGCATTTCAGTTTTACTATCTCTGCATTTGACCTGTGCAGGGGATCATATCTTCCCTCAGTTTAAATTAGCTTCTACTTTGTAAGCCACAGCTCTTAGTGTACGCTGGATTAAATTGTGTTACAGCTATATCTCTTATTATACAATTACTAATTGTATAATGAGCTATATTGTTTAAAAACCTTAATCCTAAAATGAGTATATGACAATTAGCAGAACAGAAACAGTGTTGGCCTGTATTGACTCATTTCAAATACAGAAATGCAGACAGCAAAGTACCATGAACATAAAATTAGCATACAGAACTGTAAGATGGAAAACAAATCATAAACACAAGGGAATTTAATATGTATTACGTTTCACATTTTTAATAACAGTATTTTGAAGAATATTGTTCCTAAAGATGAAAGATTTATGCCTTCTCCCCAAAACTTTCATTATGTTACTCCTATTTGAAAATCAAAATGTTCCTATTCAAAATGTTCCTATTCAAAATGTTACTCCTTCTCAATTCAGATTTTTATGCTTTCAGAATAAATCTCCTGTAACTGAAGAAAGTTTAAATACCTTCTGCTATTAAAACAAGAAAAAAGGGTGCAACAAGACTGGCTTGAATTCAAAATACTGTAACAGACCTGTCCTGCTTCCCCAGAATGCTTAACAAAAAAATACTGCAGTGAAATACTGGCTGATCCTCATTCAGACCAACATTAGTGAAATTAAGAAAAGTAAAATTAAAGTGACTAGCAATTAAGACCTCATTATGTGTTAATTAGTACCCTCAAAAATAAGCAGCATGACTGACATTATTTCTAAGGCATAAAAACATTATGTTCTTTTTGGCTTTTGTAAGGTAAGGGATGAATCAGTTTGCTACTCATGAAAAAGGATTTAACATCCCTAAATACAATTCCAACATTTATTTATTTTTGTGATATTTAAAAAAATAGAAAATAATAGTACTTCTGTTGTCTGCGTATGTTAACACAGTAGACACAAAGGCAAAAAAACCTTGGAAAATTTAGAAAATACGTCAATGAAACTTCAGTTATGGATTTGACACTCTTACATACCTATTTCTGTGGTCCATTTAGGAACAATGAAATAATCCAGATCTCTAAATGTCCTGTGATATCTTAACAGGGCAGGTGCAGGCACCACGATAAACCAAGAGTCACCTATTCATAACTTAAGCTGTCATAATTAATATTCACCATCTTCAACATTCTCTCAATTGAAGTACTGAGAACACTCAGGTAAGAAGGTTTTTAAAGTGTAGATACTACTTATGAGCAGAACTAAGAATACTGATCAAACCAGGAAATTTTTTATTTAATTGTCCTGTTTCTCATACTAAGACTCTGCCTATTTAAACTTAAGCAGTGCACGGAACAGGACGAATTATAGTATTTCATATATTCACTTAAACTCTTTAACAATAATAGTAACAAATTATACTCTTCTACATAACAGCTTTAGAACTCATTATAAGAGAAAAACTTTTTTTCAACGAAAGACAATTTCATCTAAATGGAAAAACTAAAGAAAAATTCTAATTGTGATTAAATTTGTCTATTATATATTACACAAAATAATGCAAACAGGCTGCCCAGACAGGTTTTGGAGTCTCCTTCCCTGGAGACTTTAAAAATTTGTGTGGATGCAGTCCTGTGTAACCTGCCATAGGTGAACCTGCTTTAGCAGGGGGTTGGACTAGATGATCTCCAGAGGTCCCTTCCAACTCCTGCCATTCTGTGATTCTGTGACATACTTTTCTGCTTCCTTACTTTAATTTTAGAACTTTTGTTTGACTTTGTTGGTGATTTCTATATGTTGGTCATTGTGGGTTTTTTTGTCTGAGCACAAATTATTCCATGTTTCAGCATAAAAGTCTTCTCACTAGTTTTAACGGGAAGTATTTTCTTTAGTGCTTTCCATATGAAAAACTGAAAACGTTTAAGTATGCAGAATTTTTCTTAAATCACCTAAATACATTCTTTGCAACATCCTCTAAACAACACGAGACGGAACAAAAGTTCAAACTAAAACCTTTATGAAGAACAGTGCTATAAACATACTTTAATTTTGTTAGTTCTACAAAATTTCTTTAGACATATTCCTCACAGATTTTTTTTTTCCACTCAGTTTTGTTTAACCACAAAAGCTTGTTTAGCTTGCTCTCTTCAGTGCTGACCAAAACAGGACATGAACAGTAAAACATACGACATTTACCTAAATAACTGTGAGCTGGTTTTTCTTCCACTACTTTGATTCTCCTTGCTCCTGCGGGTATGACCAAAGCTTCCACATAACCTAGACATGAGACCAGATGTCCCGAGTTAAATACAAAAGCATAGAAAAGTATATTTTGTATGTTTTTTAATTTCTTCTTTTCTATTTTGCTTTTAAAATGTAATAAATTATAATTTATATAGCAATGGCTTGAGGGTTCTTGCAAAATCTTGAAACAAGCTATGCAACTGTGCATTATGTGTAATATATATGCCATGATATATAATTAAAAGCATAGCAAAGTAAAACATAACAAATAAGGCTGGGCAGCTTGGGACTGGAGGACATGAAGATGTCTCTGGCCAAGTAGTTAAGTATCATCATGACCACCGGATGACCATAAAAGAATTCCAGCTTCTTTCAGCATATAGAGACATGTGATATGGCACTAAAACCCAATCATCCTCCCACTGTTGTTCTTTTCTTTTTGGTTGGCTTTTTTTTTGTTTGGTTTTGTTTTCTTTTGTTTTGTTTTAATATTTTGTGCTCTGTCTCCCTCTCCTTTAACACATTCAAACTCGGCTATGAATGGCTTTAGTTTTGTAGTCTACTTATTAGTTATTTGCTTGAGATTACAATGGCTTCCTTAGACTTTGGGACAAAGACATGCTGTTGAACGATTTCAGTATGGGGTCAAAAGGCAATGCAGGTGAAAAACACTGAGCAAGCAG